TTGTTAAACATTTTGTGTTATGGGGATGATTCTGCAAAGCCGTGTGCTGTTTTCATAAGCATTTAAAAATAGCTCAGCCTGCAGTTTGTAGCCTCGGCTCCATTGAAGGAGCATGATGTCAAACAAGGTACTCATTACTATTCACCTGGATGTGTTTCTTGGACACCCCTACTGTTTTTCTTTTTTTATGGGCAGAAAAGAGCATCATAAGCACAGTCCAAGTGTGCTCCTCTTCACCTCTCTGAACACTTGGCCGTGGAGCTGGAGCTAGGTGTTCTTTGTGCTGTTGGCTTCCCTCTCTGGCATGTTGCCTGGGCAGTGGGAGCCAGCCAGTGGCTGACCCAGCTTTACGGCCCCGTTACTGAACGGTGATGGCACTGTAAGTAACTGGGTATTCAGAAGCTGGGAGGCATATTTTTCTTCTGGACAGCTGCTCATAGCTATAATTCTCAATAATGGGATGAAGATATAAAGTGTTTGTCTCCCTACATAGTCCATGTTTTGCCCAAATCAACTTGAGCAATAAAGAAAATTTAAGCAAAGACTAAAGATAAGGATGGCAAATAAAACCCCAGGAAGAGTGGGAATCAGGTCCAGCAGCAACATCATCCAACTGGTCCAGGTGCCAGGCAAAGCCTTCTCCTGCCCCACTCTTGTTCTCTCTAAGTGAACTCTTTCTGTCTCTCCCTTCAGATCAGGACTTCCCACACGGCTGTAAAAATCTCACGAGTTCCACATGTTCCCACTGAAGGGGGGCTAGCTTGATGTTGTCAAAGGCCCATGTAACAAAGCAAGATGTGTCGTTAGATACAACTCATTTGGTGCAACAGGATAAGCCCTGGGGACACTCCTCGATGGCTTAATCTGCATAAAGACACATACATTATAGCTATATAACATGTGCCCATGTGAATAGTCTTACAGTAGTTTTGTTTCGGTCATTTGAGACAAAGTCTCTCTGGCCCCAAGTTTTCAATCTCCCGCCTCAGCTTCCTTGCTGCTGAGATTGCAGTCATGTATCACCATGCCTGTCTACAAACTTAAAATACTTTTCCCCAAAATATGCCACGGAATGTTTGCATGAAGCTTGACTATCTGAGTGCCAAAGCACAGATGAGCCATTCTTGATGTCATAATGTAATTTAGGGGTGTCTTCATTGGACACAGGTAGTGATGTAAGTAAAAGGTTCTTCAACATGCTGCTTACATCACGGGGCCTGTGTCAGAGGCGAAGTGTCATCCACACACCTCACTCTGCATCCCAGTGTCTCAACAACGCCACAACAAAAAGTTTGGCTATCCCATGGTTGAAAGCTTTCCCTAAGGCTGTATTAGGAGTGGGACAACCTAAAGAAATCCAAGCCCCCTCCTTAACCTTCCTTTATCCTACAGTGAAAGGTACACATGGCCTCAGCTGTGGCTGCATTGTCCTAGATGTTCTAGCTATGTAGCTCCAGACACCTGTTTCCAGACAGGGTCCCCAGGGAGCAAATGAAAAAAATCCCTAGTAATCCTTCCAAGGACATTTGTGGCAGAGTGGTCCTTTGAGATAGATACTGGCATAGGTGCAAACAAGACCACTGAAGGAATCCTGGTTTGTCTGAAGGATAGAGTCAAGTTCTAAAGAGGTTTTAGAGAGTAAAAGGAGACAGGTATTATAGAGCCACCATTCGGGCTGTGTGTGACCTATGATGCTTAGGAAACAGGAGTGGGGACAAAGGTGCTGCTCTTGTCCAGGCAAGTGCTATGGTGGTTCATATCTTCATATCCATGACACCAGAGAGAGTAGGCAGTGGAGGGAATGGAACAAACTCTGGGATGGACTTTGAGGTCCTGGGGATTCCCCGAGTGTGAAAAAGACTATGCAGGAAGTCACTGACAAAACCTGCGTGTCACTACATTGCTGGCGAAGGGCATTGTCACTTGTGTGTGCACGCTCGGGGCGTGGAGGCTCCCGTGTGCACTTACTTCCCCATGTGCACTTCCTGTTCTTGGCATTTCTTGCAGAGACAAAGCCCATCCTCTTCATGTTCATGCTCTGTCTAGAGAGGCAGATGAGGGAAATCTCCCTCAGCCATTAGGACTGAAGGCCCTTGATCTCTACTGTCTGGACCAGCCTGCATTGTCTTGAATGCTTCTAAGAATTGTTCACATTACACATACATATAAGCACATACAAGCTATGTGTTTGAATTAGAAGGATTATTGAATTTTACTCTAATTTTTAAGACCTAAGAATATAAAGATCACTTGTACATAAGAACTAAGGAAAAGGAGTGGATGAGTTCTCTATACATTGAAAAGTTAACCACGGGAGAAATAACTCCACACAGAATGAGTGAGGTTGTTGCTATTCCTGTCTAAAATTCACCTTTCTGGAGGAGTGGCCTGTGATAGAACAGGCTTCTAGATTCTCACCTCATTAAACAGCATGAGGTTACTGTAAGCCCTCAGTTTTATATCTTTATTATAAGGTTATTCCTTTTGTGCTTGATTCAAGGGTGTTCTCATCTTTTTTCTTGTATATTTGTGAAAACTAAATGGTAAAGGATTTAGTATAACAACCATTAGTAAATTATGATGTAAACGAATACAGTGTCTGCAATTAGCCAAGGGAGTTTAGCATGGTTCAATAATATAAAAATCACTGGGCTCGTAATATTTTAGGACCTGAGTGAGTTTGGCAAAGAACAAAAATTATGTTAGCATTAAAACCCAAGCAAAATAACAATTAATCTAAATATCAAGGAGATATAAAGCAAGGCATTTTGCTGTGACATGGAACACTGACACAAATAACTACCCCACTAAATATTAAGTAGATTCTAAAGTGGTGGCTAACCAAAAACTAGGAAGGTTTTGCTTAGTTCTCTAATGCACCTAATGTCCTACCCGAAGTCTTAGCTTTAATTTTGCTCAAGGTAGTAATGGCGCCTGCAGTCGTGGTTCTCTGGAAGATGGCTGCCTCTTTCCTGGTAAAACCATTCTCAGTTTCTTCTACATATAGCCTTTCTGGGTACCTAACCTTTAAGCTTCGTAATCACATATTTCGAGTGATTTTATATGGTAACTGAACATGTGTTATGGTAACTTTTTGTGTCTAAAAGATATCCCAAGCCTGCGCCTTATGAATGTTACGTTCTTTAGAGCTGGGATCTTTGTAGATTTAGTCAAAGTGAAGGAATACTCTCGCTGTAGTTGGATGGACCCTGATCCTATGACTGGTGTACTTGTAGAGGAAAATTTGGGTACACACATAAACACACGCTCACACACACATGTGAACACACATACATGCAAACACACACTACAGACGCATTACCCCTCCCCCCACAGCCATTGGAAGCAAGAGGCAAGCAGAATGTCATGTGGTGATGACATTCTCAGGGTTGATTTAACCCACAAAATGGTAAGAAATGTTCAAAGTGAATAAATTGTAATTAATAAAAAATTAATAAAAAAGAAATGTTGAAGCTACCAGAAGCCAGGGGCAGAGGGATTTCTTTTTCTTCCTATAGTCTCCAGAAAGACCAGGGATCTGCCTTGGTTAAAGGGCTTTGGTTCCTAGAATGTTTTGAAATAAATTGCTGCTCTAAGTTAGCCACCTTCTAGAAATCTAGCACAACAGGCTTGTTTGGAAATAAATTCATTTAACTGGTATCAATGATAATTTTCTCAGGAGTGTTCTGTATGAGTAGGTTAGTGATTAGGGAATTATGTACTAATTTTCAATACTGAATTTTAGGAATACTTACAACCTAGTAAATAATCCTTCCTTCTACATTTCTGTTTTATTGTTCTAATACAAAGCAAGATACCCAGAAAACGAGGGTGAAACAGAGTCCTCCCCAAAGAGCCATGTGTATGAGACAAAATTTTCAACACCAGTTGTTTCTCCCACTCTTTTATTGCATCACCAAGGACCTGTTGAGGGTTGTATTTGTCACTGAGCTAGTCAGCACATCAAATACTGAGCTATACACTGAGCATAACTCAGAGGAAGACAACCCTTGTCTTCCCTTACAGAAATTACTCTGGCATCAAAAGTTAATGTTAGAATGATGCATGGAGGCCTTCGAGGGCCTCTTTATAAAATTCGGTTTTCACTACATGTTATAGTTAAAATCAATCTTATAAAACCACTTTTTAAAAAGCATTGCTTGGTCTTGTATATGTATTCAAGAGAAGAAACATGATTTGGGGGAGCATTTGGCCTTTTGGTGTTATCTTACATTGCTACTATTATAAAAATCTTCCTTTATTTGGGATGTAAAGTATATTTTTGCTTGGCCAGGAGAAAAGGAATCAAATGGTGTGGCGTCAAGATTAATTTTATCTTTTGAGTAGTTAAGTGATTGTGTCACTGTGGTTGAGTACGTCTCCTCTTACCTGTATTAAACTAATTATTTTCCTCATCTATTAAAATCTGTGTATTTTGAAATATAATAGCTTTTGTGGTGTTCAGAATCATACCCAGGGCCTTGCACGTGTGAGCTTTATCATCAGCCACAATATCATGCTTCTAAGAAAAGAGAGTTTAGACACAGTTTCTTATTCTAAAAGCAACAATCTTAAAACAAACAGTATTTCCCAGTTGACATTATGCAGCAGTGATTAACGTGGTTACCATTTTTTTTTGTCTAAGCAAAGTAGTATATTAATTGTTTTTTTGTTCTGTGTCTCCAAAGTTTTCCTCAGATATTTTTCTCTAACTGAAAGACACCTGAGGAGCTACTCCCATAGATCAGCTCCACCATGACATTTTTTTTACAGGCTCATTATTTATGTAAGATATCGAAACCAATTAATGACTCGCTTCTTTCTTCAAAACGTTCACCTGCATCCTGTATGTACTGCCAACTGTCATCCTAACTCTTTGTGTGTATAAGTGCGTGTGAAAATGAATAAAAATAATCATTTTCTTTTTCTCTTCTCTTTCTACCCTTTTTGTTTCAGATAGTCGACTTTGAGTTCCACGGAGGCTGCTTCTGCGTGGGAGTGGCAAGAGAAGTGAGGGAGCCACATGGAAGACACCCAGGACCTAAATGAGCAATCAGTAAGTCTTAATTTAACCTCAGTACTCTCTTAAAAAGAGGTGGTAAGACTACTCAAACTTTTCTTAGAAAGGAACCTATTTTCAGCAGTAAGGCTTTGGGTCAAATATATTTTGTTGATTTTTGAATCCTCCTGTAAGGCCATAAAATAGGTTTTTGGCAACGCGTGTTGTTCCTGCTTAATGATGATGTCACATTTTTGATGCCTCCCTCGATGCTCCTCTCAGAGAGCCTAAGGTTGGAAGACTAGGGTGTTGAAATCATGCTGTGTGTTTAGACAGTCTGAGTAATTTTATGGACTTCCTTTGTTATGTTTTGTTCCAAAAATGCTGGATGGTTTCTATATTGCTGGCTATTAGGAGTATAATAGGAGAGAGGATCTTATTAGCATGCCAACTGCTCATCTCATGGATGAAAACCACAGTACTCAAGGGCTTTCCTTATTTTACGAGATTTATCACAGGACCAAGAATGTGGCAGCCTGGTAACAATCCTATTCTGTGTTCCTGTAAGGAGAAGCCTGACCAGCTCTTCCTCTTGCCTCATTAGTAGGATCTCAATGACATTAATTCTTTATTATGTACAACAAGGGCCTGGATTGCTGGAAACTGTCGCCCTAGCTGTTCTGTACACAAGCAGCTAGTGCAGTCACAGGGGAAAAGCCATGCATACCACCAAGAATGTGTTCCACAGACACAGCTATTCTTCCTTAGCTTGTACGATCGTGATTAAAAATCCAAGGCTTCCCAGGGACAACCAAGGACAAGCTTCTGGCATATAACCACATAACTATAGAACAGATGTGTGAAATGCATTTCAAGTTCATATTTTTAAAAAAAGTGCACTGTGTGAGAAGCCGCTATTCTAAACATTTCATTTGTTTTTTAGCAGATAATTAAAATATGTACTTTCGGATTTCAATTTTTATGTCTAGGGGCTACCTTAATACGATTCTATTATATAATTGTAGCACTGCTCATTTTCTATAACATCATCAAAAGAAACACGTGACGGCGAGCCGTCACAGTGCTGTGAGGCTGAAAGTTCACCAGTAGACATGGGACTCTTAAAAACTGTCTAATTTCATTGACAAACCTGACAGTGACAGGCGAAGGCTTTAAACCAACCTCTACAGGAACTGGTTACCAAATTTAAACATGTAGGGCTACAACTCTGGCAAGCAGGTTCTAGTAGTGACGGTGGTTGTCTCTTTCCCAGGGGCCATTGTGTGTTTGTGGCTTTTGCTAGGATTATAGGTCGGTGAGTGTGACCATGTGCCTGAATGTCAACAGTGAATGGTTATGTCACCTGAGGGCTGTGATGTGTGCTTACGTCTAGTATTCTGAGACTCACTTAGAAATGTGTGTGTGCGTGTGTGTTAGATGAGCCAATGTCCACATGTTTTCAGAGATTTAGGAGTTGGAGTTTGGGGAGCTCAAAAGAGCATTAAAGAAGGAAGAGTCCCAGAAAAGCAGGATGGCTGAATCATCAGTTGTTTTATGGAAAGTATACACATGAGAGAGATTATGAACTTTATTTTCTAATACATTTTAAATAAAAAAATAATATGATTATATCATTTTCACTTCCCTTCCTCCAACCCCTTCCATGCATTCCTTACTTTTTCTAAAATTCATGATCTTTTTTCTTTAATTATTGATACATATGTAATATACATATATAACATATATATTTTTCTAAATATATAAATATAACAGAACATCTGCTTTAATGAATTTGAAGCTAAATAAAACATATTTACACTCAACATAAGGCTAAGGTATTACTCACAGTTTAGATCATCTTTGACAAAACAATGCCCAGAATTTGTGAATTGTGTTTCTAAAATCACTGGTTTTCTTTCAGCAATATTTCAGGGCCAAAATCCTCAGTTTAAGTTCTCAGTGATGCTACTGTGCAGCCAGGTGTGAGAACTGAATGTCTAGGCGATTTCTGTGGCTCTGGCATGACTCCAGTTGCTAAGCCTAAACCTTGGACACATAGACCAGCCTACTCATCTCAGAAGTCTGCAGACAGCTCCTGAGAAGCAGCAAGGGTTTCTTATGTGCTGTGTCTGCACGCTGCAAACTTGGAAGGATCTGGGTGATCCTTCTCTGAGTTCATGGCTTTCTTCCTCATCCAAATATGTCTGATAATGAGACAGCTTAAATCGTGTCTTCCACCATTATGGACAAGTTAAAACAAACAAACAAACAAACAAACAAACTAAGACTCATTCCTTTCAAAACAAAATAATTGTTATATTTGCATTAAGTCATTAAATAAATTTAAATGTTGCAGAATATATTAATTTCTTAAAGCTTTTTGAGAAGCATTGTGTTTATTAAAATATAGAATGATCAGGAGGGTATTAGCCTTCATAAGATGGAAATTTCAGGGCATGCATACAATAGTAAAAGTGATTTACGATGCATGGCATGCGCCATCCAGCACTTTCCACACACTTTTCTGGATCTTTCCTGTGTCCATGCATTATACGTCTAAAGCCTAACATTTTATAGATGAAGACATTGCGCAGAGAGTGTTCAGGTCAAATAGCAGTTAAGGACCGGAATTTAGAGCTGAACATGTTTTTGTCTTGCCCTAAAACCTTTCATGGGTTTTTATGACACAACATAGCATCAATAGTTAAAGGCGTTAGTTGTAGATTCAGACATTACTGACAAGGACTTTGTAAACACTGAGAAATCACTTAACCTCATTCTCGTCTATAGAGTGGGGAGGATGATAAAGCATCCTAACATGATGTGCTAGCATGTGGTCCACAAAACATTCGTTAAGATCACTGCCTGCTCTAAGTAACTTGAGAACCATGGAAGATGGCTCACTCAGTTCAGTCTGCTGAACAAATGAGGACCTGAGTTCAGGTTCCCAGCACACAAGTAAAAAGCCTGATGTGGTAGCATGTATTTATCACTCCAGTGTGGAAGATGCGCAGTAGGGGTGATTTGGGCAGCTCACTGGACAGCTGGTCTAGCCAGTTAGTAAGCGCTGCACAATCTGAAAGCCTGTCTCAAAGAATGACGGGGTTGGGAGGAGCAATGGAGTAAGATGTCCGTCGACATCTTCTGGACTCGGTAGGTACAGCCACATATGCGCACATGTGTATACATATACACACAAACATACATAACCACATACATTATACATCACACACACACACACACACACACACACACACACACACACAGAGAGAAAGTCTTTCATGAGTATTCCTTCTTTCTTGCCTGGCCAACTCTTATTTTGGATCGTCTCTCTACCTGGAGATTTATAGGTCCATAATTTTTTTGCAGATTAAAACTGACCTCACCAGCTGTCTTGTCCCTCTGTTTTTCTCCTTCTCTACTCCAATTCTGTATTAAGTTGGCAGATAGAATTCTAGGAAATTTTTGTCCTATTTCTAATTGCCCTGACACTTTCTAGACACTGTCGTTAGTCAAACTGCAGAATAAGAGCCAAATACAATGCAAAGCATTTTCCTTAAAAAGCACTTAAATATGTTTTTGATGAGGCATGGTAGCCAATGGCCTGAGGGGTATTAGAAAGTCAGAAGCTCCTCTCAGAATACAGGACCTCAGAAATTTGCATTTGACTCACAGGCAAGAAAAACTCCATAGAGAACTGGCTGGCTTCTACAAATGCCTTCATTACCAGCTCCTCAGCAGCTGAAGTGAAGTAAAAGTAACAATAACCACCAGATCAACTTCTCCCCTGCCCCACTCTGATGCCTTCCCATTCCTGCCTGGCCTTCTCTCTCTCTCTCTCTCTCTCTCTCTCTCTCTCTCTCTTTAAATTATTTTTATTATTATCATTTATTACAATTTATTCACTTTGTATCCTAGCTGTGGCCCCCTTCCTAGTCTCCTCCCAATATTACCCTCTCTCCCTCTTCTCCCACTACGCCCTTCCCCCATTCTCTGTGCCTCAGTTTCCTAACTCTGACCTTTTAACTCTTCACTACCTTGTCCTGTTTCAAGTTGATTCTCTTTCCAAAATACATACCTGGTCACACTATTGTACTACATTTTCTCTTCATAGCTTTCTTGCCCTCTGAAAAGAGGTTCATGTAGGAACCACCACAAAAGACTAGATACTATTGATTCCCTTAGTTGTATTTTTAGTTTCTGTCAGCTGCCCAGATTTCCCAAATCTTCTATGGTCTCTACTGATTCGTAAGTGTGATACAGCCCCTCTTCTACTGAGCTACCCTGATGTTCTTACAGACTCTCATGGAGCTCACTGCTTCTGAGAACCCTTCCCCAGCTCCTTCTTGTCTCCCTGCCCCACCAGCAACATAGGGTGAGCCATGCTGGGGAGGCCATGTTGGGTTAGCCACCTCAGTGAGCCACAGTTGTACCGGGTGCCTTTACAATGTGCTGCGGTAACCCTTTGGCATCATCTCTAGCCTAGCATTCACCACCAAGAACTGAAACCTAATCTGTTTACTTGCTTGTCTAGCTTCTGGGTTATAAACTACTGAAGAGCAATGGCGAGTCTTGCCTGTTGTGAACTCTTTCTAACTGTCACAGTTCTTGCTGATGTTTATTAACTGTTTTCTCTGAAACACTTAAATGTGTTTTTGATGAGGCATGGCAACAAGTTTTAGAAAGCAAGATGAAGTTCTCAGAATACAGGACCTCAGGAATTTGCATTTGACTCATTTTTTGAGAAAAACTCCGTAGAGAATCAAGTAACACTTTGCCTGCATATTATCATTGTTCTTAAACCTTCTTCGATGTTTGTTTGGTTTGTATTTGGCTCTTATTCTGCATTTTGACTAACGGCATCCAGAAAGTTTTAGGGCAATTAGAAATAAGACTTAAATTTCTTAAAATTCTGCCATGAGTTTTTATTTCAGGGTTGCTAGTTTAGAAGAAAGTTAAGCGACTTTAGCTTACCCTTATTTTTTAAACTTAAAAATGTCACTCTTGTGTGACTTGACTATTTAAAAATTTTTAAACAAATTTTTCTGTGTGTGTGA